CCACAGACCTTACGTTGCATTGACTTAATCCTTTATCCGGGACTGACCGCCCGGCAGATCCTCTCTTCACCATTCTCCCCGACTCTCTCCCCCCTATTCTGACAATTCGGAGGTCAGCAAGCATGGAATTGATCCATCGGCAGCCTCACCGGAATGCAGGCCACGCTTGTTTTCTCTTGTCATGCAGATCAGCTGTCTGATGTACCGCCTGTCCGCACTGGACCCATCAGCACTCTCATCGCAGGTACGTACGCCAAGAGGCAGGAAGCACTCATGAAGCGACATCGGCAGAACAAGGGCAGACGCACACGCCCCTGCTGCTGCTGCGTCTGTGTTTGTCACGCATGCAGGATTGTTCGCTTCACATGATAGCCGCATTGCAGCAGTATGCCAAGCTGAAGGCCACGCTGAAGGCGCTTGTCAGGTCGGCCAGCTTCCCTCAGCCGCGCACTGACGCATTGGTCAGCCAAACCATCGCACGATACACGCGAATGATTCGCCAATCGTGTGTCGCCAACCACGTGTCTGTTGTGCGCTGCACTGTCTTGGTCAGGCCAAGTTGAGGGACCTCCCGACCGACGCCGTGGCTCGTCTGCAGACACCCGCAAATCTGACGGGCGTGGGCCGCCTCAGGACGACCGCGCGACTGCTCAAGAGGCACATCCGAGATGCCTTCCGCAGCCGGCTGACCGACGCCATCGACAAGGCGGGTCTGACGGGCGTGGTGCGGTTCGCTCCCCAGCTGGGCGACGGCAGTGTGATGGAGGCCCTGTGGCTGATGGAGGAGGGGGGCGGCTGGGGCGAGGTGGAGAAAGGGCTGCGACTGGCGGCAGAGTATTCGTACTGTCAGCTGCCCATCCTCATCGACGCCGGAGACCTGCAGAAGCACGACACAAAGATGGTGAGCACCTCACACAAGAGGGGGAGAATAGGGTGCATCGTCTGCCATGTGTCTGCGCGTGGGCTGTGTCCAGGCCTACTTGTCGATGCCCCGTGTGGCAGCCCAGTGGTTGATTGTCGGTCGGCACGTGGTCTTTTGCCGCGCTGATGGCCAGCAGAACGGCACCTTCGAGGTGTTCCGCGACCCTTCCACCAACGAGATCCGCGCCATCCGGGACGAGCCCGAGTTCGCCCTCACCCTCAACCCACCCCTCCCCACCGATGGCGTGCATCCCTTCCAGCAGCACCCGTTCCAACAGCACATGAAGCACGTGGTGACCATCGAGTACGCCGAGTACGCCGAGGGGGACGGGGAGTGGGTGGCAGGCTGGGCTGAATTCATCTGCGCATCGGTGAGCACCTTCATCATGGACATGATCACCCGCCACTTCACGAGGAGTGGCTTCCAGCTCCACTTCACGGAGGTGGACATCGATCGGTACGTCATGTGATGGAACGGGACGTAGCGTCATACATGGGTGGGAGAAGCAGAGTGTTGCCTTTCCTTGTATGTGTGTGTCCGTGTGTGTGTGTATGTAGTGGGGCGAGGGGTGGTTATTTGGACGGCCTGCTGACGCGGTCGCCCCACACATCGCTGGAGGGATGTGCAGCCGTCATGACGGAGGAGGGGGCTGATGGGACTGCGTGTCAGGTCCACGTGCTGACGGCCTCCGACGACCCATGCATAGCATGGATCACCTTCTGTGTCACAGCTTACGACCGTCAGACGGGTGAGCGGCGGGAGGGCAAAGCCAACGGCGTCTCGTGGAAGCGGGCCCTGCTGTCTGTGTGCTGCGGCAGTGAGTGTCAGTCTGTTGACCACGGAGCAGCCGGTAGGCAATCCGAGCGATCCCTTCTCGGTCAGGTGCCGGCGCTCGGCATGGCTGGCCCGGCGGTCACTTGGCCCATTCGCACGCATCTTCTCCGACGGACAGACATACGCCACCTAGGGCTGGCTGGCTGGCTGGCACGTGCGCCAGACCACCAGTAGAGTGATATGCAGAGGGCAACGCACACATGGTGCGGAGCAGGGCGTGGGGGGCAAGCAGGTGGAATGGGGAGCAGAGGGCGGGTTTTGCTGAGGGGCTGCTGCTAGAGCGGGGGCCTTTCCACCCTCGTTGATTGCAGGGGGTGGTGGGCGGGCGTACATGCTTTGCTCGTTGCTGTCAACAGTTCACATGCGGATATGTATTCGACTGTCCAGCGCATGGACACACGGACAATCTTACCCTTAACCACCACCACCACCACATATGCAGAAGACGTACAAGCCAGAGCGTTTGACATGGACTTCACACAAGACAAGACCCGGGCTTCCGTGAAGTCGACCCCAAACCGGGGCTCCTAGGTCATGACGCATACGTATACACATCACATGAATCAGCCAATCAGTCAGTCGGTCTTGTGCTGGGCGTCTGCCTTGCCCTTGGCCCCCTTCCTCTTGCCGCGATAGTTGGCGATGTTCTCGGCACGCTGCTCCTGAACGGTGAAAAGAACATCACACAGACAGACAGGCACCCATACAGGTGAGCACACTGGCTGCCTGGCTGGCGGGTTGCTTTTTGTGTGTCTGCGAGTCTACCTACCTGTCGTTCCTTCTTGCCCTCCTCCACGGCCTTCTTGCGGTCAGCCCTGAACACACACACACACACACACACACATATGTAGAGACAGGGAGGAAGGGAAGCACGCTCATGGGCTGTGGTGTTAGTTGTGGGTGCACTGGTCGGGTGTGCCTCACCACTGCTGGCGGCTCTTCTCCTTCTTTTTCTCCTGGGCCTTTTGGCTCTTCTTCAGGCGACTCGCGTCAGTCTGATGGCGACGGAAAAGGAGGGCGACAAGCACAGAGGCAAATAGTGTGTTTCGTGGCCGTTCTGTGGGGCAATGTCGTACCCGCACTTGTTCGCCTTGGGCCTTCTGCATGGCCCGCTCCATCGCCAACTCGGCCTCGCGACGCTGTCAGACACGACCGAGACACAGCGACGAAGAGGCGTATCTTCATTGAGTGGTCTGTGTATCTATCTGTGTGTGGGTTATACACACACACACCTTCCTCTCCTCCACGTCCGTGATGACCTCCAGCGCCTGACGCTCCTCACGAATCTGACACACACAAGTCGCGACACATACGTACATGGCACCGGATCCAGCACCAGAGCGCCATGTGTGACGGACTTACCTTTTTGAGGTCTGCCTGGATCTTTCTCTTCTTGCTGCCAGGGGCATTTGGCTGAATCACACACATCAACACATGAACGTACGTGTGTCGTGGCCGATGCGTGTTGTGGGCAGATGGCACCTTCCCTCACTCACCTCCAGCAGTGTGTGGTCGCTCTCTGCCACGGACTTCTTGAACACAAAATCGCCGTACTCAATGTCCTGATGACAAAAGGCATGCCAAAGGTGCGTATACAGGAAGGCATTAGCTCCTGCTTCTGACGGCCACCCACCTCTTTGATGGCTCCAGCAGCAGCAGCAGCAGCAGGAGCCTTGCTCACTTGGCGCTGTTGTTGCTGGTTGGTGTCCACTTGATCAAGCGCCTCCTTGGCTTGCTGCTCCCTCCTGTTGCGGCCCTTGCGGCCTCTCTTGGGCTCGTCCGCCTGTGCACCCGCATCCATCATCACGACACATTTGTGTTTCATGTGTGTGGGGCTTGCCTGACCTTCCTGTCGGCCCTCTGCTTGCGCAGTACGGCATGCAGCCGCTCCCTGAGCTCCTCACGAGACACCGAACCGCCACCACGAGCTGACAACGCACACACAGGCATACGCGTACAGTACACACAATACAAGCACATCCACATGATGTCTGTGTGGGCTTCCCCGTCTGCCCGCCATTCACTACCTCCGTGCAGCATGGGTGCCACCCCACCACCATCACCATCACCACCCTCATCCCGCTGCCTCTTCTTGCCAACCAAAGCATCACCGTTCTGGTGCTGCTCGTCGTCGTCGAACTCAAACCCGCCCCCCTGCAGCGCCAACTGATCCCTCTTGCCGTCGGTGGCGCGCTTCATCTGTTCCTCTCTCTTCTCGGCCCTGGCGATCTGTTTGAGGTCCTTCTGGCGCTGACGCTGGTCGGCCTCGACGCGCAGGCGGATCTGCTCGGTGGTGGCCAGCAGTTGAGAGGGGTCATACTGTATCGAGGTGATAGGAAAGGCGAGGGACAATGAATGACGGGCTGGGTGCTGTTGCTGCGTGGTTGCCTTCTGTCCCTTACGCGTTGTCGTTTGAGTGTGTTGCGGTCGTCCTTGTGTGCCTTCTTTGATGACGCCTTCCCTCGGCTCACATCAGAGCTCTGAAGCATCACATGCCGCATGAATGTGCTTGAGGCGGCGTCTGCGCGTGTGTGGGGTGAGCATGATCACACTCTCACCTCTTGGTTGTCTGTGCTCGTTCGCGAGATGCTGCCACCGCCTTTGATGTAGTGATCTGCCGGGACGAGATTCACAAAGGAATCGAAGAACGTCAGCGTCTTGTACACATCCACCATACTCATACGGGGAACAAGAAGACGCCTCAAAAAAACACAGAGATCGTCGAAGTCAAGCTCGCACCTTCTCGAGCAATTCTGAGAAACCGCTCTCTCTCTCTCGAGCAATTGCAAGCAGCATGAGGTGAACTGACGCTTAGCCGTCTGGCAACTCCTGATTCATGAAACGCAACATACATGCAGCGCCACGCACCTGAGGAGTGAGTCAGTCTGCACAGCCACGCTAGAATACAGCGTCCATCGATAGCCACACATGCACAGATAAGCACGTATATGAATGCGTCCATCCATCCTTCTCAGATAGATACTGGCAACCACTCTCTATACAGCCAGCGATTGATCGATTGATCGACTGATTCATTGCATTCATTGCAGCCATCCATCCATTAATCCAGAAACACAGCCACTCGCAACCATTGCATTCATCTGCCTGTGTCCGTTTGTATGCACCAAAAACAGCAGCCATTCAATGCATATGAATGCGACAGCTGAGGCACACCACACCACACCACACCACACCGCCAATCAACATTCACTCAATCCCCCCCCCTCCAATTCTCTTCTTCCCCCTGAGCATCTCGTCCATCAGCCGGCCTTCTGTGGCCGCCGTCTCTCCTGGACGGCGGCCCAGTACCCGCCGTTGAGCCCCTTGCCCGCCCGCCGTGGTGCCTTGCGGTCGGGAGAGGACGCCTCGCCATCACTGTCGCTGCTGTCGTCGCTCTCCTCGGCCATCTCGGCTCGCTTCCTGCGGCGGGCGGGGGAGGGGGACCGGCTGGGCGGATACCGAATCGCATCGGGCTGCAGATACTGCAGAAATGGACAACAGCTGGTCGGTCGCCAGTTGTCGGATGGTGGGGGTGTCTGTGTGTGGGGTGTGGGGTGTGTGGGTGGGTTGCTTACGGCCGCCTCGACGAAGTTTTTGATGACGCGGTCCAACATGCCCACCTCGGCAGCCAACAACGCCTGGCAGTAGTCGCACGTCGTCAACTGCCCGCCGCTGCTGCTGGCGCCAGACGAACCCACCGGACCGTCATACTGAGCTATCCTGAACCAACCAACCACGCACGGCAATTCATGACACACACCCATGTGTCTGTTGCGCAAGGCAGCGTGGCGTGACGTACGTTCCAGATTCGTCCTTGATGTAGTTGCGGCTGTTGGGCACGCACGCGCATGTGGGTTTCTCCTGCCACTTGGCGAAATCGACGGTCTTGCGCAGGCCCACGATGCTCCGCTTGTGGTGCCGCGCCTTGCGAGTCGCCTTGCACCCGTCGCAACACATCGGCCAATCCTGCACACAGAGGCCGACAGACAGACACACAGGTAGACACACAGACATACAGATTCCACCATGTGGGTGTGTGGGGGTTACCTTCAGGTCTTTGAGACGGCATAGCTCGTGGTGTGTGGTGAGTCCCCTGACGGACGCGAGTGCCATCTTGTAGGCGATGCACCAGCGGCAGTTGTGGACATACAGGGGCTCGTCCTCCTTGTGCGTCTTGGGGTCGTACTCGACCACGCACTTCTCGCAGTAGCCCCCGTTGCACCCGTCGCACACGATGCCGTCCAAACTGTGCTTGCCGCAAAACCCACACGAGTGCAACCAATCCTGCAATCACGACACGCAACGCAACACGCAGTGAGAGTCCTGATGTGTGTTGTCGTTGTGGATGGGTGGATTGTCTTACGAATGGCATGTCCGCTGCTTCGGGTGCCTTCCAAATGGAATCGCTCAACGTCGCTACCAAGTTGCTCAACGGCACCTGCATCATGGACACAGACACAGCAGATGGATGACGTGCAGTCACACAAAAGGCGATCTGCGGGAGTGTTGTGTGCTTACGAGGAAGTGCCAATGCCTCTGGGGGATCAACACGCTATTCGTCACAACCTCTATCCCAACCTACACACACACAACACACAGCGAGAGAGATACACACACGGCAATCAGTACTTGCATTGGATCGTGCAGGCTCACCTTGTCCGCCACCTCCTGTGCGTGTCTTTTGTGTTTGTCCGACGTGAGGAGGAAGAAGGTGTATCCCTTGGCCTCAAGGGCCTCCCTCACGTCATGCGTCAACAGCTCCACTACGCTCTCCATGTTGTTGCTGCACGGATCGCACAAACCATCTACTAACGCCTGATTGATGGGACAAAAGAACCAACACCATGCACACAGGGAGAAAAATGCGTGGCTCCCTCTCTATGTGTGTGTGTTTGTGTGATGCTCACCTTGAGTGCAGGCTCTGTTTCGGTGGGCAGGGAGTCGCCCTCAGCCGTCCCGATGATACCAAACTGCAAGCCAAGCACACCCATCCGATGCCTCCATCAATCATCCCTCTGTTGGCCTGCCAGCAACTTGCCTTACCTTAATGCCGACTATCTGCCCCAGCCACGTGGCGAGGTCCCTGAACTGCGCCGTGAGCTCGTCCATCTTGGCGTCGCGATGGAATCCGATAGAACCGTTACGCACACCCATGATGACCTATCAGACACACATACATAGACACAAGGAAGGCTGTCGGTTTGTCTGGATGGTAGAAAGGTCTTTCCGTTGGTGTAGCGGGCCCACCTGCTGGAAGTCTGGCACTCGAGCAAGCCTACGACCGCTCTGCACCTCATCAGCCGACGCACCGAAATCCTCCAACCTGACTCACACACACACACACACACACACACACACACGAAACGCGCACACGTGTCCGTGCTATGTTTGTGTACGCAATCAATAAATAAGCCACTCGTTCGCTCACCGTGGCCAGTATGGTGAGTTTTTGTCGGTGACGTACATGACCCACACGTTGCCCCTGCGGTAGGCCTCGGTCTGCGCACTCCGCGACTTGCTGCCCCGCTGCCCGATGGCCTTGAGCATGGTCGTCTTGGCCTCGAAGTAGCACGGCTCACCACCAGCCACGCCGTCATTCACCTTGTACCTAAACACCACAACATGAACTTTCATCATGCGCATGATGTGCAGACACAGTGGTCACTTACCCGCCCCAAGGGACCATTGGATACATCTGTTTGCCCGACGTGGCGTCCACCAGGGCAGCGAAGCCCGTATTCTGCGCGTCAACCGAGTGCTGCCCCAGGATGACGCTGTCCGCCACCGCCATCTGCTTGGCCGATGCCCGAGAGGCGTAGAGGCGCTCCTCTATCTGCTTCAGCTGCACATTGACGAAGGGCAAATCAAACACGGCCTCCGACTTGTCCAGCCAATACGATGGAGGCACAGCAGGTACAGCAGGTGCCTGAAACACCACACGACACACCCCACACACCAACACATTGGGACAGTTTTCCCGCATGCATCCCATCTGCCTGCTGTGCATTCACCACTGGTGTGTGTAGGTGTGTAGTGCGCACCTGGATGGCCTCTTGAGCATGGTCATGTTGGGCGTCTGCCGCCGGTGCGGGAGGGTCCTGTGGCGGGTCCGCGGCAGGTTGCTCCACCTCCATCATGACAGAAGATGAGTCAACGGTCAAGGAGCCTCTGTAGTGCCATCGTGGAGGCCTTCAGGCTTCAATTTCCTACGAGCCGATCGGCGATGGCGAGCTTGAAGTAAGCAGTGTTTCCTTGGCTTTCTCCGTCACCTCTATTCCCTTCGTCCATCGCTGAGCACCACCAGAATCCATCTTGGCAGCCATGATCTGGCAGCATCTGCAGCTGTGCTGCTGGGCGGTGGTCCTGTGGATCGCATGTGTGTATGTCGCCCCGGCACACAGCATTGCGCCCTTCAAGATGCCTGTCGACGAGTCCGTGAGTGAAGATCTCAAGCAGCGGCTGTCCATGTCAAGATGGCCTTCTTCGCCGCAGGCAAGCACACGAGGGCAGCCGCCGGTGTCTGCAGACGGATGGGCGTGTGTGCGTGTGTGTGATCCGTGTTGCAGATTGGCGCGCCAGGCGAGTATGGCGTTGACTGGGGTCTGGCCAAGACGCTTGCCGCTTATTGGCGTGATGGGTTCGATTGGTCGTCGCAGGCGGCGGCGCTCGAGTCTGTAATGCCCCAGTTCACGGTGGAGATTGAGGGACTCACCGTCCACTTCGCACACGCAAAGGCCACCGACAGGAAGAAAGGTGCGCATCGATGGCATGTGAGCAAGAGAGAGAAGGGGAGAGAGGCAGGCCGCATCTACGGTCCCCCTTTCATGTGTGAGTGCAGGTGCCATTTTGGCTCTACATGGGTGGCCCGACGCTTTCACATCGTGTGAGCAACACATCTCTGCACATGTGTGTGTTTCTGGTACGTCGATTCATGTGCCTATCAATCAGGTCGCAAGATTGTGCCCCTGCTGACGTCGTATGGCTATGATGTCGTGTGCCCCTCGCTCATCGGCTACGGCTTCTCCTCACCTGCGAAGGAGCCGGGAATGGGTGCTGCCAAGATGGCTTCAATCTTCGTGACACTCATGAAGGACGTCCTCAAGTACAACAAATACCTAGTTCATGGTAAGATAGACAGACACACAGACAGAGCAGCGGCTCGCATCAAGTCACACAAGTGCTCTTCCCTCTTAGGTGGTGACTGGGGCGCTCTCATCAGCGTCTATGTGGCCGTATCGGACCCCCAGTCATGTGTTGGTCTCCACTCGACCAATTGCATCTCCAAGCCGCCCCTCAACCCCTTCGCACAGTTCCCACACGGCATCGTCCGCACCTCGCGCTTCCTCTATGAGGAGGGCTCCAAGATCGTCAAGAACGTCATCAACAGCATGACCACCGGCAGCAATGAGACCGACACCTCAGCCGCGCCAGAGGGCAAGGACGAGAGTGAGGAGAGCGTGCGGGAGCGGTCGTCTGCTATGTGGAAGGAGACCGGCTACCTGCATGAGCAGGCCACAAAGCCACACACGCTGGGGGTGGCTTTGAACGACTCGCCGGCGGGGCTCCTCGCATGGATCGTAGAGAAGTGGACGTACGCAGAGAGGAAGAAAAGGAGAGGGCAGGTGGACACGCCAGGTGCAAACGTGGTGTGTGTGTGCTTATAGGACGTGGTCTGACGTGCCGGTAAAGTCCAGCGGTGAGCGTGACTTGCTGGCGCTGTACTCGAAGGACGAGATCCTGGCGCTGGTGCACCTCTACTGGATCACTGGATCCATCACTTCATCCATCCAGGTAGGTACTTACACACGTGGGCAGACAGACAGCAACCAGCCAAGCAGCATCTGTGTGCCTGTGTGTCTGTGTGTCGCTTTATCAGCTGTACAAGGAGGAGTTCTTTGAGGGCCTGCAGACGTCGCTCCCCTACGTGGAGACGCCCACTGCGTGCGCTGTCTTCCCAAGGGAGCTGATGAAGCCACCAAAGTGAGACGAAATAAATGGATGGATGGAAGGACGTATGGATCATTGCCTCTGCTCGTCAGGTACTGGGTGGAGGGTGCATACAATCTGAAGCGATTCAACACCTTCGACAAGGTCAGTCAGACAGCTGCCAGCCAGGGGGGCTCAAAGAGAGCAACGCAGCGAATCCGTCAAGCCGATGGTGCTTGTTTGTGGATGCGTCAGGGGGGTCATTTCGCAATGATGGAGCAGCCTGAGGCGCTCGCCAAGGTCAGCTGATAGCCACACACATCAATTGCCCTCATCCTCACCTTGATGTGCATCATGAGTGCAGGACATCGATGCCTTCTACACGACGTTGCTGGAGGAGGCTGAGCAGAAGGCGCGGGACGAGGCGGCCAAGAAGGAGCAGCAGGCACAACAGGCCGCAGACAAGAAGGCCCAGACCCCGGGCGAGGGTGGTGGAGGGAAGAAGAAAACAGAGGCTGAGAAGCCCAGCGGTGGAGAGCGCACCGACCTGTAGGCACTGTGCAGTGTGGTGTGTGCGGCGATCGGTATTCCCAGTTCGACAGCACGTTTGTGGGTATGCTATGCGTGTGCCGAGTGCACTTTTTGCCTGTATGTATGTGGCCATGCCGTGTGTAGTCGTCTATAGTCTGCATCCGTCATGCATCGGTGTAAGTACTTTCTGCGTCAGTCGGATCGATCATGTGCAGGCAGAGTCAGCTGTGGCCGGCCTTTTTGCAATGTAATGTCGAGAACAGACACCCCTTTACGTGTGCGTGTATGTGTTTTGTGTGTTTGGGTCTTTAAGTGTCTACTTCGTTGTAATTTCTAGGGGCACAGCTACAACGCACACCAAGCCAAACATCCGTTTAGCGCTTTATCCAAGCCAAAGAAGAATGCAGCGAACGCACCATCATCACCCGCCCGCTGTCCCGTCATGTTCGAACGTCTCAAAAGACACAAACGCTCTCTCCGACTCAGCTGCCTGCCCTGCCGACCCTCCCTGGCCCAGCTGCGCCAACACGTCAGCCATCCTCTGGCGTACATCAGCAGCACTGGCCTCCTGCCGCTGCTCATGGTCTGCACTCACAGCCTCCTCTTGCTGCTGCTGCCGCGGCTGGGTAGACGGTGAGCGGAGTCTGTCGATCTCTTGCTGCCGCTCGGCCTCTCCGTGGAAGGTCCATGCAATCACCCACCTGCAGGCCGATAGAGCAACAGAGAGAGGGATACACGTACGTCTCCCTCACCCACCCACTCGCCCACTGATTGACCGTGTCTGTTTGCCCTGGTATAGGGTGAACTCACGCCGGGCTGCGATCTGAAAGGATAGGTTGAGCAGGGTCGAGCAGCTAGCACGGGTACGAGCCGCCTGTTGTTCATGTGTCGGCACCGCGTACCCCTGCCTCTGCGAGTCTTCTCTTGATCTCTTTAAGTGTGGTCAGCCGTGCAACCAGACTCGTGTACCACCTGCATTGCAATGCACACACAGAATAACACGGACAAGAACGTGCACCGCACAAGAAGAGAATCCCCCCGTGCGTGCATCCCGCCTACACATACACGATCTGTTTGGGCCGCTCTTGGCTCTCGGCGATCATTCTACACACGCACATTCACAATCCAGGGAGACTGCCAGCATGGAATGGCTGCCCTCACCTTGAGATGAAGCCCAGCTCGCCGCCATCACACACGAGCTCGCTGTGGCTGCCGTCAAGCGCCTGATGGACAGACACCCAATTCGGGATGTTGTGTCTGCCCGCCGTGTCCGTACGTACCCGTTGTGGGTTGACGTGTGCCTTGTCGATGGTGTCGTGGAAGGGCGGATTGCACACACTGAAGGCAAACCTGCACACACGAACAGATGGATCGATGTCGGCTGGCTGTCATTTCAGCGCACCTCTCGTCGTCGTTCAGCACGCCCTGGAAGATGTGTGACGCATCTGCACAGCCACAGAGGGAGGTGGGGGTAAGAAATGTTGCCTTGGAGCACCAAACTCACTCACCAGTCTGCAGGCGGACATCAACCAACGGCCTCATGTCATCGTTGCGGTCAACATTGGCCTGACCCACACACAGACAGACAGCTGTGCTGTTCAGTTTCGCTGTGCGAGCCGCCCACTTTCTCTCACCTTGGCGAGTTCCAGAGCCGCCGCATCGACCTCGGTTCCCACCATCCGCCACCCGTACAGCCGCGCACCAAGCAGAGAGTAGATGCAGTTCGCACCGATGCCACTGAAAGACAGCAAAATGACGACACAGCCAACGTGTATGAGCCGCCCCTCTCTCCCTGCTTGCTTGAGTACATGTCAACGCCTCTGACGTCAGGTCCCTTGAGTAGCGTCACATCGCTCGCATCACCTGCCTCGCTATCGGTGCCGCTGATGAGGTCGGCCACGTAGTGGATGTAGTTGGCGCGAGAAGGCACAGGCGGGCTCAGATACCCACTGGGGATCTCCTACGCGAGAGGCAGGCAGCAGGGCAGGCAGCGATGTATGTGTGCAGGTTTGTTCACTGTCCGGATTGCACTGTGTGTACCCATCGCAGCTGGTAGCAATGAAGCAAAAGGGCGCGTGTGAGGGCCCGCAGCGCATCCGGATCTCCATGGTCGATAGAAGCGCCTCCAAACCGGTTCACGTACACACTGCGCACACAACACAAAAGCAATCAACCACAGTCAGAAGAGGGATACACTGCCTTGTCTGCCTGCCCTACTATTTGTTGAATTCCGGGAATCGCTGCCCGAGGTCAAAGTAGTCCAGGCCGTCCCTGTGCATGCTCCTGGGATGCATCCGCTCGTTGTTGCTGATCGGCGCCTGGCCTCGAGGGACCTTCTTCTGCAGACGTCGGTCGTCGCCATTTCCGCTCTCAGTTGACGCTTGAGGCTCACTCTTCCGCTTCATGATGATTCGTCTGCTTGATCTGGTCTGTTTGTCGGAGATCCTGCTCGGTTGGAAATGCGCAGAAAGGCCCTTCCGCGCCAGAGCTGACAGGTAGTCAGTCAAGCTCAATTTAACGTGCTGTTTCATTGTCGGCCAGGCATCTGGCCTTCCCACTTGTATTCAGCACGCCTCGGCATCGATTTCGATCCAATTACAACCACAGGGTTTCGGGTTTGAACCCCAAAACCCAGGACCCTAGAAACGTGGAGCATCCGGATTACACGATTGGACTCATCCAGGTGAGAAAGCAGAGCCGAGAGACCGTGCAAATAGATAGATCTGAATGATTGATTTGTCTGATATCAGGTGGAAGCGCACTTCTATTTACACACACGCAGCGCCGTGCAGGGTAGGGCAGGGCAGGGCGATCTCCTGCGCAGCCTCACCCCGCCTGAGAGGCCTGTGTCTTGCCGGATACGGGATCTCTTGCTGCATGGACCCCGACACACAGATCATCTCACGTCGTGGCAGCACAGCCCTCCCGTCGTTACACGCCAACATCCACTTGCAACTCATTCTCCACGTCAGCTAACATTGGCTGGCCGACCTGACAGACAAACATACAGCCCAACACACACCACCGGCAGTGAACAATCGCGCGCATACCAAGTAGCCAAACCGTACGCACCTGTCGTCTTTCGTCAGGTGCCAAGCCGTTTGAGGGTGAGGGAATCTCCCAGATATCCCCCAAAGCTGATGTCGTACCACCCCTCCAGCCCCTCGATGGTGTCGCCTTGTGTCCGCTCCTCCACCAGCCGCTTGAAGGCGTGGCTGGGCACCGGCTGAAACTTGAGCACCTCGATGCATCGGATCTTGAGCAGCGACCTGACGCAGGCAATGCCGAACTCGCCGGCGGCATCGCCATCACCCAAATCCTCAGGCACTGCACACAGACAGGCATGCACAACACATAACAGGCTGGTGTGCGAAAGGATGCGATTGTTTGCAGCTCACCTTCTACGCCAACAACCAGCCGTTTGATGGTCGGCAGCTGATCCGCCATGTCCCCCCACGTCAGCCCCCCCTCACCCACATCCGTCACGCACTCGGCGTTGAAACACTCCAACTCCCTCTCCCTGCCCAACGCCTGCAGCACCTCCACTGCTTGCTCCTCTGTCCGGCCCAAGAGGTCAATGTTCTTGACTGCTGGCATCTTGGTCACCAGCCTGCGGCCAATCGCGAGCCCCTTGCGGCTGCTGCACCGGAGCCGCGATGCGGCCGGGAATGCGTTGTGGGACATGCTGTCAATCACAACTGGGTCAGGCTGGTCTGCGTCAGCGTCTGGCTCCCAATCGTCGTACTCCAAATCATCATCCTGGTCCACCACATTCACGACCGTCGCCTTGCTGAATGTCAGGCACTGTGCGAGGGCGACGGCAGCGGGGATGGGCGTGTCGAGTGGGGTGGTGAGATGGTGAGGGCGGATGGTGAAGGACACTATGTGGGCTGTGGCCGTCATCTGCTGGATGTGCCTCTGCACGAAGGGGGAGGGCTCCGGGCGGGTGGGCACCTCACACAGGAGGGACAGCTCGAAGCAGTTGATCTTGTTGATGTCGGGGATGTCGGGGCTCACACAGACGGCACGTGTGAAGGTCTCGATGGCCGAGAGGGTCTCGAAGATGCTCCTGTCGATGCAGTACTCATCGAGCTCGATGCTGAGCTTCTTGATGGAGCGGCAGCCACGGTCGACATGAACCTCCTGCATACAGACACACGCACATCACAAGCAAGCCCTCGCCCACTCTCTCTCTTGTGTATCTTGTGTATCTTGTGTGATTCGTCGCACACCTGAAGGTCCCCCAGACCCGCAGCCTCCCAGCTAGACAGGCTGAGGGTGCCGATGTCCTCGAGCTGCGACAGGGGGCCCGGCTGGCAGGCAGCGGCCGTGGGGAAGCGCATCAGCGACCCAGCCATGGTGTTAGGAAGGCATTCCACCTGCAGCTGCTTGAGGCGCCGCGACGTGGCCACAAGACCTCCCAACATCTCTGACCCCACCCCAGGACCTCCAAACACCCACGACCCCACCCTCCCCACCACCTGGACCATCTCGAGCGACGGCAACTGCCAGTGCCGCCCGCGGCCGGGATAGGAGAACTCATATATCCCGAAGGGGATGCCGGTGATGGATCTAAGGGATGTGAGGGTGGGGGGCGGGTTGAGGGGAGGGGGGAGAGCTTCCAACGCCTCTCTCTCAGCAGCTCGGATAACGCGATTCTCGTCCTCGTCGATTGTTATGGTCCATTTGCTGCACTTGCTTATGTCGATGGACTCCAAGGTGGTTGGCCCCTGCTGCCCGGTTGCTGTGGCCGCTGCGCCTCTCCGTCCCTCACTGTGGCCCTCCACCAATGCCGTGACGGTCTTCTCGATCACAAGCGACAGGATGCGGAACTCACTTGGCAACTTGACGACGATGGTGATGAGCCGTGTGAGCCGCCGGCCCCACTCGAAGGCGTCGGCGAATGACAGGCCGTACCAGAAGCGCCGCTCGGCCGTGTCGTGGGTGTCCATGACCAGCTGGGTGATCTGGCAGCCGACGTGGCCCCACAGGCGCTGGGGCAGCGCCGCCACCAAATGAAGCGACAGAAACGAGAAGACGTAGGCAACGACAACAGGCTGAGTGGACAAACACACACCACACAGACATAGGGGAGACAGTCAAGATCTCTGTGTCTGCCTGTGGTTCGTTTGGTCCATCTGTGTGTGGTGCGTACGATTTGGCTGAAGCGCTGTGCGAAGGCCTCCAAATCTAGGCTGTGTGTGGTCTGCGATGCCGTGGCCTGCTGCTGCTGTTGGCCGTCGGTGTCCATCAAGTCATCCACCTCTCCTCCGGCCGCCCGCCTCCCCGCTTCGACGCCCTCACTCATGAGTCAATTCCACCAAACGGGCGTCAATTGGAGAATGTTTTAAGTAGATGCATGAAACGGGCGACGAACTTGTCTAAGCGAATTGGATGGCACCTCGATGGCTCCAAGCTCGCGACTCTCGGAGCTCTTCTGCGCGGATCTCGTTGAAAGAGATCACCACGATGACAGGAATGCACCGCAAGAGTCAAAGACCTCGCTGTTTCTGCCTTTGATGTGTGGGCCACCAGCAACAGCATACCCGAGTCAGCAGGGGCGCAGTCGAGCGTGTGCAGCTATGATGTGCTTGCTGCTGATCACACCAATGGTCGGCACGTGCGCCCTCGCCTCCCCGGCAGGCTTGTACGTTTCGTTCACCATGCGCCAGGAAGGTCACGACCCGTACAGCGGGCGCATGGTGACCGGTGACCGGGAGAGGGCGCGTCATGGCCTCACTCACTCGGCGGAGAGGCAGATCGGAGTCACTGGCGGGCCATTCCTCTTCATCGTCCGTGAGCAGAGAGGGAGAGGGGCTCACACGTCCATTAGTGGGGAAGGGAGATGTGTGTCATTTGTCTGTGTGCTGTGTGCTCTGCAGGTGTGTGTGAGCCGACCCTCCCAGTGACCCACACCGGGGCCGATGACCGCACGCTTCCCTTCCTTGCTGCACTGATCGTGTTGGGGTGGTTGTGACTGTGGTGTGTCAATATGGTGTGGGCGTGGCAGCCACGTGTGTGTGTAGCGGGGCCAGTGCTGGCGGCTGCGATTGTTCAGTGGCCCTTTGTGGGCTATGCCGCGGGAAGCGGTGGTGCCTTTTGTAGTAAGCACATTCATACCGAACAGACAGACAGACAGACGTGCCATCGAGTACGTCAGTTAGGCACACACATCAGCCGTCAGTTGAGGCAGTGAGCGGCCGGCCCTCCTCTGTGCGCATACCGTCACCCTCTGCTTCCCATCTCTCGGCTCGCCTATGTAGTTTGCCAGCTCTTGGCGACGTGTGGCCTGTGCGTGTGGATCACAGCGTCGCGGAGAGGCGGGCAACTGCATGGCCGAGCTCTAGAGGGGGGTCAGTACGGGGATTGCTCGGACACACACTCGATGCCATCTGTAGCATCTCCCTCCATCAGCAGGCAGGCTGTCTTTGCCTCTCACTCTTTCTGTCCGGCTATATGATTTTGTCTGTGTACTGGTCGATGGGGCCTGCCGTGTGTGTGTGTGTGTGTTGGCCGAGGTGAATGTCTGCATGAGACCACCGATGGCCCATTTCTCCCCGACACCAGAGGGAGCACACAGATGGCCCATCGGTGGTTGTGGTGGCAGGCAAACACCTACGGCCAAACACAACACGGCAGCATGAGAGAGGCTGGGTGAGCTGAGAGGGGCATTGCTGTGCGGACAGGTATGTGATCAGTGCGTGACACGTGGGCTGCTGATGGACATTAATGATATCACTGCATTTGGTCTGTCAATTGGCACAGCCAATGTCTCACTGAGCAGTTCACGTGAATGCAGCGAGGATATCCGTCACAAACAACCGAATATAAAATGCAGGCAACGATTGGGGAGGGGTCGACCCCCCCTCCCCCTCATCGACACTCCTCGTCTCTCCGCAGCCACTGATGGCGCTCGGCCGGCCCGTTTGGCGAAAACTCCTGCACGGCGGCGCTTGGCTGCACCGTCCCATCGATGGCCTTCTTCATGGCCGCCGTCTCCCGCACCACCTTCTTGGCGAAGTGTCTGGTGTAGAGGGGCGTGATGTCGTTCCTCGCGGCAAAGAATGCCCGCTCCTCGCCGTAGATGTGGCCGTTGCTGCCGCTGCCTGAGGGGTGGTCCATGTGAGGCCCCATCAACACCGCCGCCCCCAGCGAGCAGACGGCATATGCGTCTGCGGCCTCGCTGAAGGGGCCGAAGAGGGCGGGGGGGGGGGGGG